GGAGGCTGAGGCAGGAGAATCGCTTGAACCCAGGAGGTGGAGGTTGCCGTGAGCTGAGATCGCACCCACTGCACTCCAGCCTGGGTGACAAGAATGGAAACTATGTCTCAACAAAAAGAAAAAGAAGGATGCGCCCTGGGCCCGCGGCTGGCACACCTGTTGAGGAAGGTGTTTCCGAAGGGGTTGAGTTTGCGGAAGGGCTTGTCTGGGTCCACGACGAGGGCATTGCCGGGCACGGTGCCCTCAGTGTCCCCATGCATGACGGCCACAAAGCAGTCGGTGGTGGGCTCAGGCCCCACGCGGGAGCCAGGCACTTCCTGCTCCAGCAGGTACTGGATGAAGCTGGTCTTGCCCGTGCTGTACTGGCCAGCCACCAGCACCATGGGCTTGCCGTCGAAGTCTGCATCCTCCAGGGCCGGCGAGTGGAAGGCCCCGAAGCGGTAGTGCTCCTCCAGCGGCAGCAGCTTCGTGCGGTACAACTCCTTGAGGGCCGAGGTCACTGTGCGGATGGCCTCGGGCTGCTGGCCCCGTGCCCCGCCCCGCTTCAGCCAGCTGAACATGGTGGCGGCACACTGCCCACTGGGTTCACGGAGAGACGTGCAGATGGAGAGCTGCCTGTGGGATGGGGAGAGGGCATAAGCATGGGCGGCCCGGCCAAGGAGGAAGAAAGGGGTCTGAGTGTAGACTGTCTGGGTGGCAGGATGGGTGGAGAAGGAGGAGGAGCACAGATATTTGTGGTCACAAATATGTGGTCACAGAGCATGGATGGCGGGTGGCAGGAGGAAGAATGGAATTGGGATAGGCACGATGGTTCACGCCTGTAATCCTAGTATTTTGGGAGGCCGAGGCAGGAGGATTGCTTGAGGTCAGTAGCTCAAGACCAGCCTGGGTAAAATAGTGAGACCCCCATCTCTACAAAAAAAAAATAATTAGCTGGGCATGGTGGTACATGCCTGTAGTCCCAGCACTTTGGGAGGCTGAGGCAGGAGGATTGCTTGAGCTCAGGAGTTCAAGGCTACAGTGAGCTATGATCATGCCACTGCACTCCAGCCTGGGCTACAGAGCAGGACCCCATCTCAAAAAACAAACAAACAAACAAAACCTGGGTGCAGTGGCTCATGCCTGTAATCCCAGCACTTTGGGAGGCCAAGGCAGGTGGACCACCTGAGGTCAGAAGTTTGAGACCAGCCTGCCCAATATGGTGAAACCCTGTCTCTACTAAACATATAAAAAATTAGCCAGGCATGGTGGTGGCCACCTGTAATCCCAGCTACTCAGGAGGCTGAGACAGGAGAATCACTTGAACCCGGGAGGCGGAGGTTGCAGTGAGCCAAGATCCCACCACTGCACTCAACAGAGTATGACTCCATCTCAAAAAAACAAAAAAAACAAAAAAACAAAAAAAAAAAAAAAAAAAAACAAAAAAAAAAAAAAGGGAGATGATAGTGAACCAGCTGAAGGAAGAGAAAGAAGAAAGATTAATGGTGACATGGTTAAAGAAGGGGGATTGATGGTGGTAATGGAAAACCAAGAGATGGACAAGGCGAAGGATACAGAAGCTGCCTGGAAGAAATGGATTCCTTAATCACTTCATTCATTTCTTCCTCCCTTCACCCTTCCATCATTTGACACATTTTCACTGAAATCACTCACTCCATGCTTCAGGCACTGTGGACCCAGAAACCAGTCAGAGATCATCCCTCACCCACCCAGAGCCTCTAATGAGGACCTAGACACAAGCCAGACATCCAGAGGAGGGTGTGAGAAAGCGACCACAGCACCAGTAAGACTCAGGGCAGGGCTGACTTTTCAGCTGCTCCATGAAGAGCAGGCAAGACAAGGGGATTTAGGCAGAGAGGACCGTGCATGCAAAGGTCTGGGGGTGTGAGAGGTCCTGGTGTTTTGGGAGCCATGAAATATCTGGGTGGTTGACACAGGGGCACAAAGAGGAGGGTTGAGAAATGGAGCTGAGAAGGTTGCCTGGGTGTACCCAGGTCATGAGGGCTGTTGAGTGTTAAGAAAAATGATGCAACATTTATGATCACTGCATGCCAGGCACTGTACTAACTCACTTAACCTTCATAACCCTGTAAAGTAGGTCTATTACCATCCCTGCTTTTCCTGCTTTTCCTTCTGTCTTTTTTTTTATTTTTTTTGGAGATGAGTCTCACTCTGTAGCCCAAGCTGGAGTGCAGTGGCACAATCTCGGCTCACTGCAACCTTTACCTCTGCGGCTCAAGAGATTCTCCTGCCTCAGCCTCCCAAGTAGTTGGGACTAGAGGCATGTGCCACCACACCCAGTTAATTTTTTTTTTGTATTTTTAGTAGAGACAGAGTTTCACTGTGTTGCCCTGGGTAGTCCCAAACTCCTGAGCTCAGGTGATCCACCCGCCTCGGCCTCCCAAAGTGTTGAGATTACAGGTGTGTGCCACCATGCTGGCTCATCTCTGTTTTGTTTTGTTTTTTTTTTTTTGAGACCGAGTCTCACTCTGTCACCCAGGCTGCAGGTTGGAGTGCAGTGGCGCCATCTCGGCTCACTGCAAGCTCCGCCTCCCAGGTTCATGCCATTCTCCTGCCTCAGCCTCCTGAGTAGCTGGGACTACAGGCGGCCACCACCACGCCTGGCTAATTTTTTGTATTTTCAGTAGAGACGGGGTTTCACCATGTTAACCAGGATGGTCTCGATCTCCTGACCTCATGATCCGCCCACCTCGGCCTCCCAAAGTGCTGGGATTAAAGGCATGAGCCACCATGCCCGGCCTCATCTCTGCTTTTTTAACAAGGCAAAGGAGGCTCAGCAACAAGGCAAAGGAAGACAGCAATAAATTACCCAAGATCACTTAGCTAGAAAATGCTCAAGCTGGGACTCAAACCCAGGCAACCTGACCTCAGAGCTTGCAATCCTATCATAGGTCTAAAGATCTGAGTTAGGGAGGTTAACCATGACCAATCCAGGGGCAATGAGCACCTCCAGCACCCAGACTGTGTTCTCTATCTTCCCTTACTATCCTTTTATTTACCGTAGGATCTGTAGTGATGTCCCCCTCTTTCATTTCTGATACCAGCCATATGTGTGTGTTTTAACTTTTTTTAAAAAAGAAAAACAAAAACGATTGGTCCCGTTGATGCTTATGATTTTACTGATCTTTTCAAAGAATCAACTTTTGGTAAGATGGGAGTCTCCAAATACCGTTCCCCACTAAAAGAACCTGGGACTCCTTAGAGAAATGGTGGATTCCAGGGCTGGGGCAGGGAAGAACAAGTGAGCCTGGGTCAGATGGTGAGGAAGTGCTCAAAGGCGGATTGGGCATGTTACAGGAACAGAGGACCCAGCTTGCAGGGGTGGCCAATGGCCAAAAATGGAGCAATTTGAGCATCAAAATAACTGCAGATCAAATATGCTAAAATCCATAAAATCATGAGACTTTTAAAAGGGGTGGCGAGGGGGTGGGGAAGGTAAAAGGAAAGGGAGTTTGTGAAGGAGTGGCAGGAGCGGAAAAGAGAGGCAGGATCTGGGATGTGGGCAGAGGGAGAGGGCTCTGGGCGGTGTCCCAGGCAGGGAGGGCCCTGAGAGAGAGTTAGGGAGAATGCCATCAGCAGTGGCCGATGGAGCTGGTGAGGCAGGAGAGGGGCTCTTGGGTGGCTGGAGGGGCCAAGTTAGCCGATATGGATGAGGGCCTGGATGGAGACCCTGCCCAGAGGATCTCTAGCCAGGGGATAGGGAGGGGTGTTGGGGGAGGATGGAGGAGATTAGGGGAGTGGGAGAGGCTGCGGAAGAGTGAGGGGACTGGGGGAGTGGGGGACATGGTTACAGACTGGGGGGACTGGTGAAGACTGGGAGGGATTGGGGAACACCTGGGGAGACCGTTACAGACTGGGGACAGGGTGGCGGGGAGCAGGGATCAGACATGGGGAACCAGGGCAGGCTCGGGCTGGGGTCGTGAGGCGACAGCTGCGGTGCTGGGAGCACTCACCGACGGGGCGCGCTGGCGGCTGCAGCGGGCTGGGCAGGCTGGGCGGGGGTGGGGTCCCGCAGGGATCCGAGGCGCCCGCGGAGCGGCCTGTGCTCGAGGTCCCGTCCGGAGCCGTCTGAGCCGGGTGGGGCCCGGAGCGGGGAGGACGGGAGGGAGGACAGGAGGGAGGGGCGGGACGAGGAGCCCCCCTCAAAACCGGGCGCCCGGCCTCTGGCGCCCCCTTGTGGGGAGTGGGGAAGACGCCTTAGCACCGCGGGCGAGAGCTCCAGCGTCCAGCCTGGGATTCGAATTCCACCTCCACATCCGGCGTTGGGCTGCTCCCTAATCCGTCTCTCTTCTTAACACGGGAATCACAACAGCAGCAGCAATAAGAGTAACAATAACTTAGGTCGGGCGCCCTGGCTCACGCCTGTAATCCTAACACTTTGGAAGGCCAAGGTGGGAAGATTGCTTGAGGCCAGGAGTCCAAGACCAGCCTGGGCAACACAGCAAGACCCCATGTCTATTAAAAATAATAATAAATAATAAAAAAATTTACCCAGGCACAGGAGTGCACACCTGTAATCCCAACAACTTGGAAGGCTGACATGGGAGGATCGCTTGAACCCAGGAGGTCGAGGCTGCACTGAGCTAGGATTGTGCCACTGCACTCCAGCCTGGGTGACAGAGCGAGACCTCACCTCTAAAAAAAAATTATAGGACCGGGCACGGTCCTATAATTACACGCCTGTAATCCCAACACTTTGGGAGGCGAGACAGGTGGATCACTTGAGGTCAGGAGTTCAAGACCAGCCTGGCCAA